TGAGGAGGTGAAGATGGGCACAGCCAGCAGATACCTTCAGAGAGGGCTCAGACACCCTCTGAGCATCTCCACAGCAGGAAACACAACTTAACCCAGACAGAGGCAGCAGCCAGTGCAGGTGGGGATAACTTTGGGCAGGTGCCCAAAGCCCTGAAGCCAAATGTGGGGAGATCTGGGTGGCTCTGGGGGAATTTGGGCTGCATTTGGGTGCTGTCCAGCATCCATCTCAGCAGACCCTTCTCTCAGGGCTATTCCTGCACAACTGGGAGGGATGGGGATAACATGGGGGTCTCAGCACCTCAGCTGGGGTGTTTTAGCCATTTCTCACTTTGGTCAGGCCTGCAGGACACCTCAGGATCCAAACTCTGAGCAGGAAAATGGGTGCCACCACAGTGCCCAGGTCTCCCTGGCAAGGTGGCTCCTGGGCACCTGCATCAGCTGCAGTGCCACAGGGCCCCAGGCATGGCAGCCGTGCATTCACTGTGACACTCAGCTCCCTGGTCAGCTTGGGGCAGCATCCAGAGCACAGCCAGCATCCATCCCATTTGCAAGCAGATGGTTTGGCACTGCTGCCCAAAGAAATGCTGCTGGATGCCCTTCAAGTAAATAAATATATAACTCCAGCAGAGGAGATTCAAAAGCCCTTTTTTAAATGAAGAATATAATTTTATTAAAGGGTTTTAAAGACATTGTCTTTGCCCAACAGAAGGAGAGGAGGGCTGGTGGGTTGGCAGGAGCCTGGCGCTCAGGGTGACACTGCTGCTCACAGGGGGCTTTCAGAGAATCACAGAATTCCAGAATCATTAAGGTTGGGAAAGACCTGTGGGATCACTGAGTCAAATCATTAACCCAGCACTGCCAGGCCCACCATTAAACCATGCCTCATCTACATCACTTTTAAATACTTCCAGGGATGGGGACTCCACCACTTCCCTGGGCAGCCAGTTCCAATAGTTGACAACATTTTCCATGAAATATCATTTCCTAATACCCAATCTAACCATTTCCTCTCATCCTGTTTATCTGGCACATTTCCTCCCTGCCCATCAGCCCTTTGGCTCAGCAGTGGCAGCATTCCCACATCCCCCACTTCTGATGAAAATGTGGTGCTGACACGGAGGCTCTGCACAACCTGCCAGAAGAGAAACAACCCCCTTAAAGAAAATCATTCCAAGACACTGCTGGTACCCACAGATGCCCAGGGCTGAGGGGGTTTCTCAGGCCAAGAGATGATTTTTATATGCTCAAGTCAGCACCAGCAGCACCCCATATAGTCAGGAGAGGATGCATTCACTGCATCATTCAGCACTGTCAGGCATCTTTACTCTAAAATCTTTTGAAACTCCAGAAACTGCGGTTGGGTGTTATTAGCATCATTCCTATACCCTCCAGTATTTTTCTAGTACCCCATAAGGGTTTAATATGCCATGCTGGCAGCCCTGGGAGCCTGGGAGCATCACCCTTCAGAGAGCTTGCTCCTGCTTGGCTCAGTGCTTTCTTGTGCAGGCAGGAAATCTGTTGTGGGCAGTATTAAAGCACCTGCAAGGCAGATGTTGAGCCCATGAGGAGAGCTCTGAGTAGGAAATATTTGTCTTGGGAGTGGTGTGGTGTTCAGTTCAAACTGCAAAGGTTTCTCTGCTCTGATTAAATGAGGGGGCACCCCAGGGAGAGAGAAGTGACAGGTCCCCACATGGATTTTCTTCCCCTGCTGCTGAACAAATTTAGTCATTCAAACCCCAATATATTATCAATGGACACTTCCATCTGGACAGGCTACAGAGTTGTAAGCCACTAAAAATATGGGTTAGAATAAAAGCTGCTCTCCCCAGAGAGGGACTGAGTGGGGAGGTGAGGGTGACACAAAAGTGGTGTTTTATCTAGGGTCCAGCTTCAGAAGGGAAGCAAAGAGCTTGTCTCCTTTCAGGACATCCATGAGGATGTCTGTCCATGTGCTTTTCCACTCTGAGCTGGATAAAGACCAACATCTTTCTATACAGTTTTTCCAGCAACCATTTTTGGCTACTCGGTCCATTTTAAGACAGAAACTGCTGACTTTCAGGGTACATTGAAGCTGAGAACTTATTTCTGTCAGGCTGGTTTCTAGCTGGTCTCTCTGAAACTGCTACAAGCAGAGCCCAGCCAGGGTTTTTCCACAGTTCACACTCTGACATAGAGAGTCACATCCTACTCACCACAGCTTGTCTGCTCCCATGGATGTTTTTTACATGGCCTGGCAGAGGGTGCAGGTCAGTGGGAAAAAAGCATTTCTAGAAAGGTGAATTTTCAGCAGGCACAAGAAAACCTGATGGCATCAAGCTTTCTGCCATGCAATTCCTGGAGCTGTTCTGCCTGCACACATTCAGGAGCATCCATCTCAGCAGCCACTTTCCTCCTCAGCTGGAATTGCAAGACTTTGCTAGTGTATATATATATCTGGGTGCCCAGCTGCGGGCTCGGTGCTGCGGCCTCCTGTGGAGTCGGGCACCTGCCTCCCCGCTGACCGCTGTCCTGCTGCCGCAGTGACACTGACACAGCCTGGGTAGGGCAGAAGTGACCTTGCCTGGGAACTGAAGCTGTGTGCCTGAAAGCACAAAAATTGGGATGGAGAAAATACAACTTCTCTTTAAAGTCCAATACCAAAATCTCTAGTGTATATATATATATATATATATATATTTTATTTTTTTTTTTAAGAAGAAATAGGACTACTTTCTGTGTGCAAACAGCTTTTGTTGGTTTGTTTGTTTTTGTGGCTTTTTTTAGAGCAGCATGTGAAGGGCCCCCAAAAATTACAGCCTCTCCCACCTGCCCCACACTTCAGCCTTCAGGTTCAGCACCCACTGAGTTTCAAAGGGCTCAGGGCTTGGTTTCACTACCCAAGGAAGTGGGAAGTGAAACATCACACACAGACTCATGGTGACCTCATCCTGCTCTGTTCAAATTGGTGCAAGTTTTGTCACTAACTCACATAACAGCAAAATCAAGCAGCCTGTGGTAGTGAAGTGAAAACCCTGTGGTTCTCCCTTTGTACCACTTCAGTTTAAGCACATGCTCCTCATGGCTGTGCTGCTCCTCTCCTCCCTGTTTTCCTGTCCAATTGCACAGCACTAAAAGCAGAGGAATTTACAGTGAGCATTTGCACTGTGCTGGCTGCAGTGCAAAGCAGGAACTGTGTTTGGGGACAGACTAAACTGCAGGAGAGGCAGAGAAGAGCATTCCTCCTTCAACAACCAAAGATGCCCAACACCATCCTAAAGGTGTACAAGGCACTTGGCCACTACAACCACGAGAGAGTTTTCCAAAACCCTCCTGACTGATGGTTATGGAGGTTTCTCTGAGCTCCCTGTGAAATGTGTTATTGGCTGCCTGCTCTCTATAGACCAGATGCATTGCAATCCATTTTCTAGACTCAGTTTTCCCATTTGGATCAAGATCCTACCTGGGCAGGCCTCACAAAGGGACTGGCCCAAAGCAGGCACAGCAGCTCAGGATTTCACACCAGGCATCCCTCCCATGCTCCTGTGTCCTCCTGGAAGGGCCTAAGAGCAAATTTTCAGGCATTATCTGCAAATGTCAGATTACTGCACTGGTTACCATACTCCCCCAAAAAACTCCTTGTGCACATTAAACACCTTCAAGCAGCCTGATGCCTTGCATGATATCCTTTGATAAGGGTAATAGGGAAAAAAAAATCCTAAGTGCATGCCTCAGGATGCGTGGGAGGTGCAGCAAAGCCTTGGATGGTTTGATTTCCTCTCATGTGCACAGGATAAATAAGCATCTAGTCACTGATGGAGATCAGTTCTCATTCTTTAAAAAAACCAGAGTAAAACTAAACTTTGTAATACTAATGGGTAAGATACTCATCAGCTTTCTAAGTTTTCCAGTAAGAAAATTACATTTTTATCTACAAACTACACTCCAGAGAGAAATTAAACCATTGAGAACTACTGAAAGCACAACAACATTAGTGTGAATTCATGGGCCAAATCAACAGCCGGTCTAATCTCAGGGTAAAAAAAGCATTTACTTCATGCAGCTCCTCTGATTCACACTGAATGAGCACATCTCTTACAAGAGAGATTACAGAGCTAATCCCGTGTCTCTCTACAGCAGAAAGATAAACAGCACTGCAGCTTTCTCATAACCAGTGCTGTATCATGCCACATGATGCTTGATCCAGCCACAGCAGCACAGAGAGAGGGGCTTCTGCAAGGTTTCCCTCTCACAAATTGATTTCCTTCCCAGAGTCCAAAACAAAGAATAGAGAAGGAGCTGTTAAAATGCTACTATAGGGGAAATTGGAATATGAATCAGGTCTGCTAGAGCCAGGTTAGCTCTGCTCCAGGGCTGTGTCACTGCACTGCAAGGGCAGGTCCAAGCTGGAGTCTCACAGAACATCAGACATTTTAAACAAGCCACCCAGCCATGCAAGTGTTTCACAGTGCTGGTGGTCCACAGCCTGCTTAGCAAGGGCTGCTCATCCTCTGGGGCAACCTCAAACAAGTGGTTTTGCTCTCAGATGACTTTCTTTAAGTTAAAGGCAATAACTAGAGCAGAACAGCAGAGGCCAAACGAGTGCTGAAATGGCCCCTTCCAGAACACTTCTGGAGAAAGGCCAGCCTGTGCTGGGGGCCAGGGCTCCTACAGCAGCCAGGGTGCCCCCAAACTGGACCAGAGGAGACCACACCATGGACTCTGCACCATCCAAGCTGCTCCCAGCTGGTGCAGGCACTCTTCTCATCTCAGGCTCCTGTGCCAGCATGGAGAAGTGCAGCTTTTTAAGACTTTAGTTTCTCTGAGGATGTTCCTACAGAGAAAGGGAACATCTCACAGAGCTCCCTGCACCCCTGATTTCCTGCCCCTGCATCACCAGCCTTGGGCATTATCATACACATCCTTTTATACAGCAGGCACAAAGTAAGCAGACTTCTTTTTTTTTTTTTTTTTTAACCTTTTAATGTCATTGACTGCCACCAAGGTGGGAGTGAATTGCTGTAGTGCATCCCAGTGTCCCTGAGTGGAATGATAAATGCCACAGCAGAATGAAGATATGACAGATGACTTCCTGCAAGCAGAAAGGGAGCGTGAGCTTCAAACATCTATTACTGCCCAAGGTGAAAAGAGTCAGTAGGTACAGAAACCAAAACTCCCACACTGCCCTCCCAGGTCATGGCAAAAAAAGACTGCAGCCAGAGCATCTGCACTAAAATGAGCATCACAATCATCTTGCTGGTAATTTGGACGTTGAACATTGATATGAAGCTTGGTTTCTAATTTTTACTTTCTTCATTAGCCCATGAAAGCATAAGAAAACTAGCTGCCATTATGTTGAGACCCTGAAAACCAAGAGAGGGACACTCAGGTCAGCAACAACCTCCAGCAGAAAGGCACAAGGAAGAATTACTGCAAATATCCAGGCAGAAGGGAACTGCTTCTGAACGGCATTTCCCCAATTCCCTAAACCCACAAGGCTTGCACCATGGTAACACACGCTGTCATTCTTTGCAGGGCTTGGGACTACACTTTGACAGCTAGATTTCTGATCCTTTGTAGAGTGTTTTTTGTTGAACCACAGGCCCTGGGGAGGAGGTGCAGCACGTGCAGCAAACGTGGCACTGTTTACTGGCTCTCTCTGTCTCCCTATGGCTGCACCTGCACAGGGAGAGCAGCTCTCCAGGCAGCTCTGGATGGGGTCAGGTGGGTGCAGAGCGGTTTTAAAGCTTGGACTGTCTGTCAGAGGCATCTGGGAACAGCCACACAAGGGAAACCAGCATGCTGAAGAGACTGACAATCTCTGGTCTGAAGACCACAGCGGTGGATGTTTTCCTGAAGTTTTGTGCACAAAAAGAAAAGGGCAGGACAGAAGATATTCCAAAAGCTCAGGATGGAAAAAATTAGTGTTCCTCAAGATATAAAGCAGCATCTTCAGGCAGGCACAGACATACCTTAGGAGTGCTTCCCAGCTTCCTGCCTCCCCCACAGCCCAGTCCAGCAGCGGGTTGGAGATGGGACCAACCTGCCAGAGGGATGTGCAGCAGCCTCCCTGTGCAGGTCTGCTCTTTGCCATGGCAGCTGGGCCCATGGCCAGAGTCTACAGCAACTCACAGGGGAACGGCTGCCTAATTTTTGGAGAAAGAGTGAACATATTGAAGCCACCCCCTGTGCCTTGCCCTGACAAGCCATGCCTTTGCAGTGTGCAGCAGGATGGGGTGGATTAGCAGGGGAAATATTCTCATTAGCACAGGCTATTTATTTATTCACAGTTTTCCCCTCAGTTCTCTTGTTCAGCACAGCTGTTTTCAGTTTTCCAACCACCTCCACAAAGGCAGAACCATTACATCCTTTAGGAAACTGCCACAGAATTCAAGCAGCTCAAAGCAGGTGCCAAGGCACCTTTTTCCCACAAAGGCAAAAGAGCAAACACATTTACTCACCTCTAGGAAAGCACTACTCGTTGCAGCTGGAGGAGCAGACACAACCTGTCATCTACTTTACTCGATTGTTTCCCTCAGCTCCAAGCACTGCTGCTGGGTCAGGTGAAGGGGACAAGTCCCAGCTGCCATTTAAAGGGATCAGAAACTGTCACTTCCCTCTTTAACAGCAGAGGTTGGTCCCTCTCAATTTGACTGGCAAAGCAGCAGGTGCAGGGATGCATCTACCCCTGTCCCACCCCATGCAAATAAAAATCTCTGCTGGCAGCTGAGAAAGACACACACACATAAAAAAAAGCACTGGATGGTGCTCCCCTGTGCACAGGAACAGTGCAGGAGCTTGGCAGGAACAGAGAGAGGAAAGGCAACAGGCTGGGAAAGGCAGCTGCAAGGCTGGGAGTGGAACAGGAATATCTGAGACAACTGCTAACAAGGCTTTTTCAGCAAACAGCATCAAGTTATCCCTGCAAGGGTTGCAACCGTTTCAAGAAGAGGACAGCACCTCTCCCCTTGTCTTTAAGGCTTCAGGCTCCTGAGGCCACTTCTTTTCCTTCTTCCCAGGTCAGCAAGAGGCAAAGAATTCAATGCATCACCTCACACTTCTTCAGATGCAGAGCAGCAACTGCTCTCCCTTGATTTTTCAAATAAATCTGCCCCAGTGCAGAATAGCAAGACCAATTGTCTCACTTCTTCTTATCCAGAGAAATTGCTCAGCCTGTGTAGTGGAAGGGTGTTCAAAAACTCATTAAATTAGTGCCATGAAAACCAGTTAAACCACCATTGTCATCTCACACCAAACCAGATGAAACTGCTCACACAATCCCAGACCTCAGCAATGAGCTCTTCCCCAGGCTTCCCTGGACCTGGGAAAGTCAGACCAGGAGCACTCCCAGTCACTTACAGGGTGGCTGTCAGCCCAGAACAGCTACATGCCCTAAGAGCTGATGCAAAGTTGTCATGCTCTGCAAAGCCAGGCCACCAGCAGGGCCGGTGTCACCAGCAGGGACCCAAAGCTCTCCAAGCACTGGAAGTGTCCTCAGGGCAGTGTCAGTGCCAGTGGGCAAGGACTCACCTCAGTCCTGTTCTGCCATTTCTGATTCCAGAACCACCCCAGCTCCAGGAGAGGAGAGAGACACAGAGCCACTTGGTGACTGCATTATTATTTGAGATGAACAGGCACGGCTCCAAGATGGAATATGCAGAGACAAGTCCAGATCTGGCAGGCAGCTTTCCCTGGAGTCATCTAACCCTAACTGGAGCCTTTGACCAAAACCCAACACTTTCTCATCAAGCTGGCTACCAGGTGTTCCTGATCCCTAAAAGGGCACTGAAATCATCCAAGGAAAAATAATTCCTTCAGTGTTTGCTCATGTACCCTCTTTTGTTTTACCCCATCTAATGCAGTTTTCCTCATGAAGAGCCTTCTAGGTGAACAGTAAGAGCAGAGACCAAAAAGACCACTCGCCTGCAGCATTCAGTGCCAAGCTTTCTCAGGTGAATGAGCAAAGAGAACCTTGCATCTTTATTGAGGGCTAACACTGCATGGCCTCAGTGCTCCTCAACAGCCTCGTTAGATTCTTTTGGAACTTCTATAATCTTTGCATCCCTGGCACAGCTCTGTAATAAGCAGCCAAGTTGTGGAATTGCTCCTGCCCCATAGGTACATTTCTGAACAAAAAGCTAAATTGGAAGCAGCAAAAATAGCCATGCCGCCTGCTCACATGAAATCACAGTACCTGTAACCCAGTTTGCCAGCAGCACTGACATATGGAGACTTAACCCTGCCTGATCTCCTCCTGCCTATATCCAGCAGCAGAGGGAGGGGGAAGTGTAGTGTAGAAGAGAAAAAAACAGTTCAAAAGATTAGCTTTAAAATCTTGTTAACTTGCACCTTTCTTCCTTGTGAGTGTTGAAGGGCATGAAAAAAACTGAATCTTCTTTGCTGCAGATGCAGAGACCCTTCCTGAAGCACACAGGAGGTGCTGGCCCATCACTCCTGAGTCACACACGAGCACCTTTCACCCTCAGACTGGCAAATCTGGCCACACAGGAACACCTCAGTCAGCCTCCAACTGCAATGCAAAAATAAGAGCAGCCTGTCCTCAGCACAGTGCAGACACACAGAACCGAGGCACTGCACCCAGAAAGGAAAGAGTGGACACAAAGAACAGAAAGGGGACTGTGGGAAGCACAGAAGTGGCCCCTCTTGCTGGTTGGTGGCAGCTCAGTGAGGAACTCCTTGGCTAAGCAGACACTTAAAGTGCACACAGGGTCAAAGGGACAACACAGAAATTCCTGGAAGAGATGACCTCTGGTGGTTTTATGCCTTGGTTCTCTTGGTTACATGGACAAGACATTGAGCAAGGGGCATTTTTGCTCAGAGCACAGGGACCTCACCATGCACAGGGAGAGGCTGTCAGCACCAGCCATTCCAGTCTCACAGGAACTGCCCCTTTCTAGCAATACCCAAAGCAGTTTGAGCCAACATTTTTGGATACTTTGGTAGTTGAAACAACCCAAATTGCAAAAACATGCATTGGTACTTTATGCTTTTCCAGACCATGCAGGAACTGTGCTGTTTGTAAATGTAAATCTGTTTTTGTCTTTGTAAGCAAAATGCATTTTAATTTAATGGCCAGAAAGGTGTTATGCAGCACCCCAACCTCTCAAACAAGCCTTTAGTGCTCCTGTAAAGCAGATCTAATATGTCCCAGTCCTGGTCTAAGTACAAGCATTATCCAACAGCAAACTGAACATCACACCTCTTTTATGACTATCTAAATGTTTAAATGGACACCACTGCAACACATTAATTCCTGACACAGCACTATGGCACAGCTTTAACAGCAGCACTGCTGTCCCCAGCACACACCCACTGATGCAATCTCTGAACACAGCAAGTTTGCCTAACATCTTCAGCATGATTTTATTTCTATCATCTCCTGCGACAAACAACTTTTCCCATTAGTCTTTCAATGCTGACAGCTTTAAATATAGGTAGTATTCTTCAGTAACAATTTAAAGTGCTAAATTTCAAGGAGAAAATAAACTTGTACCAGCACGCTTTCAAACTGCCTCAATGAGAGAAGCACATCAGATAAAAAGCAATGTATTCTTACTTTGTAGACAGCCCTCACTAATCATGATCAGCTCAGACGTTCCAGTTAAAATGTAACTTCACCCCAGTCTCTGCTCCCATTACAAAACCACAACTCAGGCAGGAAGGGCAGGCCTGTAGTGCACTTGACCCAAGCATTACCATTCACAAAGCAAACAAAAAAAATCCCTCCCACCCACCCACCTCATCCCTCCCAAGACCTGTGCAGGTACACATGCAAAAAAATTCTGACAAACCACAGAAACATCTGGTTGGAAAAGACCAAAGATTATGGAATCCAACCATTAACCCAGCACTGCCAGGGCCAGCACTGAGCCATGTCCCCGAGTGCCACATCCACCTGTATTGTCAGTACCTCCACGGTGGTGATTCCAACACCTCTCCAGGTGGCCTGTCCATGGTTTGACAACCCTTTTGGGGAAGAAGTTTTTCCTAGCACCCAATGTAAAACTCCTCTGGTGCAATTTGAGGCTGTTTCTTCTTGTCCTGTCACCTGTTAGTTGGGAGAAGAGACCAATCCCCACCTGGCTACACCCTCCTTCCAGGGACTTGTAGAGAGGGATAAGGTCTCCCTTCAGCCTCCTTTGGTCCAGCCTGAGCCCCCCCAGCTGCTCCTCACCAGACTTGTGCTCCAGACCCTTCTCCAGCTCTGCTGTCCTTCTCTGGAGTCTCTCCAGCACCTCAGTGTGTTTCCCATAGTGAGGGGCCCAGAACTGGACACAGCACTGGAGGTGTGGCCTCACCAGTGCCCAGTACAGGGGCACAATCACTGCCCTGGTCCTGCTGGCCACACTTGCTGACACAGGCCAGGATGCCACTGGCCTTCTTGGCCACCTGGGCACACTTAGATGTTTTTTTCTAATGGAGCACTAGCATAGTGGATGCCACTGGCCTTCTTGGCTACCTGGGCACACTTAGATGTTTTTTAATAATGGAGCACTAGCATAGCATTAGTAAATCTTCAGAGAATCAATTAATATAATTGCATTACACAAAAAAGAACCATGGCCTAGGACAAAGATTTTGTGTACGTACTGCTGCTTTCCAAGGCTCTGGCAACTGCTTGACACCTCAACTGTTAGACTTTCTAGCAGACTTCTGGTAAAGCATTACACATTCTGTTTCTGCAGTCAACAACACTCAATATGAAAAAAAACATTTTATTGCAAACTTCTAAAAGGACAAAATAATCCCAACTAAAGCAGGAATCTGGCACATAATGTGCTCAGATTTTTTTACAAAATAATTACAATCCAAGAAAAAATGCCTACATAAATGAGCACAAGTATCATAAAGTATAAAAGCTACAAGACAAGAAAATTATAGTTCTTTCAATACAAAGTATGTTTCAGGAGCTGTATCCTGTTCTTGCACATTTCATGATGTAACTTTCGTTCGAGAAATTATTTCATTCACAAAACTGTTGTTCTTTGCCAATACATCATTTCTCAGCTGTTTCAACTTGACTTTAATGTCTTCTTCTGACATATCTGTCAGGGGCAATGCTTTCACTTGACAAAGAAAATCCTGAATTATCTTTTCACCTTCCTGAAATGGAGAGAAGAGAAGGAAAAGAAAGCAGAAAAGGTGTTTAGACTGCAAGCAGGAATTTTCCAAATTCTCTACAAAGTATTGTACATCAGCAGAAACTCAGTGCAGGCAAAAATCATGCTTATTTTTGTCCTTGCTATCAAGTTCTGAACACCAGAACAAACCACTTACACTGGTACCAGAAGTTATTTTTCAAAGCATGAGCAAAAAGCACCAGTTGATCAGCATAAATACAGTGTTTAACATGGTAATCTCCTGTAAGTGTTCCACATTTAATTCCAGTGTGCAGCAACACGAGGTGAGGACTGCCAGCAGTAGCAGCACCAGAATGGTCATATTACCCAAACTAGTTACTTTTAGAAGGGACTGTCAAT